GAAAATGCCCTGGAAAATGCCCTGGAAAATGCCCTGGAAAATGCCCTGGAAAATGCCCTGGAAAATGCCCTGGAAAATGGTCTGGAAGATGGCCTGTTCTTTGGCCATTTTCTGGGCTGTTTTGGTGAAATTTTCAGGCATTTTTGAGCTGTTTTTGGCCTGAAAACAGTCTGAAAATGACCCAAAATGGCCTGAAAAAAGCCCCCAAAATGGCCGTTTTTTGGCAGTTTTTCAGGCCATTTTCCAGTACTCCAGTGCTCATGAAGACCAGCTGAAAATGGAAGAGCAGCTGGTGATGTTGCACATACTCACTGATAGGGCTCTGCATGCCACCTCTGGCACATGTGCCAAAGGTTCGCCATCATGGAACTAGGTTAATAGAGTCTTCCTAAAGGATGGCAAGGATTGTTTACTCGAGTTATTCTAAGCTTGTTTACTCAAAGCCGTCATAAGATACTTGGAGAGCAAATACTAATGAAATCAGAGCTTTTCTAGAAACCTGAATTATGCTTAGAAAATATTAGGAAAAAATCCAATGTAATAGTTACTGATTTCAGGTTGTCCCAGAGATGAACAAATGAGAATGATTTTACTAAGAAGACTCTGTGATGGTAAGAGATGAAAAAAGGAACGTTATATCTCTCCTCTTTTCTTTAAGTTTTCTGTTGGAAAATAGTAATTGAGATAAGGTTTGGCTGCGTTGATTATCAGTTAGCTTCTGTGTGCAATTCATGGTGCTGATAAAAAGCCCTTCATGGCAGAAGCCCAGGTTATTTGAGGGACCACCTATCTCCATTTGGGAGTTCATGCACTCCAGGTCTTCCTGTTAACACTGTCAACATGTGGGACCAAGGAAGTGCATTTTTCTGCTTAGGCTCCTGTCCTTTACAACAACGTTTCCCTGGAGATACATATGACTCCTCACGGCAGCATCACGTGACATATCGGGACCTTTTTCCTCTTTGCTAAACTGGGCGTGGGCATGGCCTGTCCCTGTGGGCCAGGAGTTTGACTTCCGGAAATGACCTGGACTAGTCTGCAGTTTTCTTGGGAAGGTTTTTTTCAGAAGTTTGTTGCCATTATTTCCCCTCCTAGTGTTGAGAGAAAGTGAATTGTCTCTGAACTTGTTTTGTATCTTAGGAGGGACCAGCACTGATAGTCTCTTTGTTTTTAGCCTAAAAGCTAAATCATTACATCATATTGACACCCTGTTTCACAAGGTTCCCTATCTACTTCTGGACAAAAGTCAGCAGTGCTCAGATCCCCTATATTTTTTTCAATGTTCTGTAAGAACATTGTGTGTGCAGACGGGGCAGAAAAGTTGCCATCTTCCTCTGAAAAGCTGAGAGAGTATATTGATTCTTGGACTTGTCCTTGTGTATAAAACATGATAAAGGGGGTACAGCTGCTTAATTAAAAGCATTGAGAAAAAGTTAATTTATCTGAATTTGTTGCAATTTTTATTTTAGCTCTAGCATAAGAAATTGTGTGAAATGAAAATAAAAGCATTATTTTCTGCTTGCATATTTTAATATTTATAAATCAACTGAATATTATTGGTTTTTTGAATATTATTTGATTTGGATTACTAGATGATTTTAGTTTCTGGTATTTATTGCTTTAGAAATGACTCCAACTATATGTCTGATTTGTATCAGTTTAATTTCTGTTTTGTTTGTGATGCTTTTAAATAGATTTTTAGATGTTGAAATGGACTCTATAACTATGTTTTGATTTGATATCCATGTATTTCTCAGATAAATTATGTTTTGAAATGACTTATAGAAGTAGCTATTAACTTAATAAAACTCTAATGCTGTTTGGAACAAGAATTTTATTGACTCAAAGTATGGCCTCATGGCAGTTCTTTTTCCACCGAAGTTATTTTTTAAAAAGTGATTTAATATATAACTTCTTATATCACCTCTCAAATTCTGTTAAATAGAATTTCAGCCCAACACAAGGATAACGCAAAGATTTTAAGTTTATGTGCCTTGTATTTTCTCCAACGAGAAATGAGGGAAAATAAGAACTATCAGTGCAAATGAATCATAATACTTATGAAACTGGCCCCCTCCACTGTTTCAAATTATATATTGAATTCCCATTGGATTTGCTCCCTCTACCAGAGCTACAATAACTCCTGGTTATCTAACAACAAAGCATCTCACAGATACGTGGAAGTCATTGCATGCCACTCTCATTACTCAAAAATGTTCTGGCATGAAGAACTAAATAATTTGAAGTTATTGTTAAACAGGGATGTTTATTTTAATTTTAATTTTCAGCTGAACATAAGGGGAATGAGTCTTCATATGCCAAACAGAAAGCAAATTGGTAGTTTCTTTTTCTACAAAATGTGTATATTCCCCTTAGAGAATGGGATAAATTAGATGTAGAGTAAAAGCTATAAAGCTAACCTACAAAAGTACTTCGGAAAAGGAAAACAAACACAAACGTATTTTAATTTAAGTGAGATCTCCACTACTGTTGTTTCCCCTTCCCCTCTCTTCTTTCCAACTTATGATCTTATTACCTACTGCCTGGCATGTAATTACAGTAGGATGCTATTGCTGTACTGTTTCTGTCTTGGATCTCATACCTTTAGTACAACAGGCAGAGTTAAGGTGAATGGTAAATAAACATTAGACTTGCTGGATCTTTTATTTTTATCTATTACTAGCTATCTGAATAGATGACACTCTTACATAGACGAGACTCAGAATATGCCCTTCCTGTCGGATGTAACATGACAGATAGAGAGAAATGAAGAAACATGTTTCCTGAAATATACTTGCCCAATGCCATGTAGGTTTTAATGAGTACTGGCATAAAGCACATAGAAGGTCAGTGGGAGTCAGTATAGTTTGCCAAGCCAGGATGTAACATGGGCACTGTCACATTCTGGACTAACTGCACCTTCTAGAAGTTTTTCAAGAGCAGCCCCATGTAAAATGCATTCAGTAATCTAAATGGGAAGCAACCAAAACACACGTGATTTTATGCAAAGTTGTAATTGACAGAAAAATAAACCCCGAGGAACAGGAAGAAGAGCTGCTACCAGAGCAAGGATCAAAGAAATCTGGAGCAGAGCTGTAACTTGAAAAGAACATTTCAGGCAAGACTAGTTCTCATGAAGATAATGGGAGGGCAGGGAGAAGCACATTCAGACTTGCAAGATTCAGTTACTACAACCTTAAAATAAAAGTAATATTGGATTACATGACTTTGGTTTTCTAGTCTGGTCTGGGAAGGCATTGTGAATTTATACAATTTATACTAGCTCCAAAAATATCAGAATCTGTCATATTGGGACTTGCTTGGCTTAACAAATAGGCCCCTACCATTAAACGGGAAGATGGATATGGGAAGATGAATACCAGAAAATCATAATTGGCGTCAGCCCACTGGTCCCTTTCCCTCCTGATAAAAGACTGCCAACCAATAGGAGCCTACAGCCAGAAACAGCAGCTACTGCTTCAGACTCTCCTCCAGGCGAACCCCAGATTCCTAAAGAATATAGGGACTTAGCTGAGGCATTTAGTGAGGAGGAATGCAACATGCTTCCCCTCCCCCTTTTCTGGAATGCTGACAAATATATTTTACAATTACTATGTTAATGATCTATTATTATTGTTGTATGTATATTGAGAGCTTATGCCTCAGAAACAAATTCCTTGTGTAGCTAGACACACATGGTCAATAAAGAATTCTATTCTATTCTATTCTATTCTATTCTATTCTATTCTATTCTATTCTATTCTATTCTATTCTATTCTATTCTACTCTGGTTCAGGTTCAAATCTCTGTTCAACCATGATACTCATCAGATGAGCAAGCCACCATGCCCATTTAAATTACTTCTCACTTTAAAATTAGTAGTTTAATAATTGTCCACAAGTTATCTCTAGGAAGTGACAACTAGAAGTCAAGGAGAATTTTTAGAACAGATCTTTGGAAATGAATGCATTGTTTTTGCAATGAAAATTGATAAAGATTTGATATGAATTACATCTGTTCTCAGTTGCTCATCCTATAGAATAAACATGTTCT